TGACCAAGCTTTAGCGAGTTCCGAGGTTTCAAGCATGGACCTCAAAGGAGACACTCTTATTTTCGAACATGGTTTATTGTGTTACAAAGATGAGGTGGCTATGCACTCATGAGGGAGTGTCACAAAGTCGAAGTGGCTGATCATCACAAGCTGCATATTGTTAGTGGGAACTTAAAGCGCTGGTTTCAAATCTGCTTTTCCTATCTGCAGAGCGCTTGTGGAAATGAAGTTGTGAGCATTCTAGAGTCGAAAAGTAAAGTAATGGTTGCATATCAATCGTTACAGTCTCTCAAGACTGTAAATGAAGTAGCGGCAAGTGTTGAGGTACCAAACAATGTATTGGGTCTAGAAAGGCTATAACAATTGATTTACTTTAAGCCATTAGTTCCTTTTTTGCCTTAAAATGGTCATAATACTTCGTGCTCGATTATCGATAAACCTTAGCGTTGTTCATTCAATTCGGATAATATTAGGGTGATCACTAAAAAATGGGACAGCTTGATTTTTGTCAAATTTTGAGGTTTTTTGTTTCGATCAACAACAAGCAGGCTGCAACGTAAACGTCGCTTATAAAAGCGACCTTCGCCTATTATTCTGGCAAAGTGTCAACGCTCCTCTCCCACAACCCTATGCGTGGCGCCCTGAAGAACTCGAACAAGGTTTTTTTGAACATCGCTCATTTTTGTGCTGCCATATCGTAAAGTTATAAAGCAATCGATACACCATTTGAAAGAGCTCTTCATGCTCTTTCAAACAATCTATTGAACATACAGGTTTTTTTCTATTTCTGGATAAAAAAAGCGAAATACCTGAAAAATCGAGATTTTTGGCGCAACAAAAACCTCTAAATCGAGTTTCAATCTGTATTTTCCGGAGATAGATAAAATGTGAGGTAAACTGCATATGGATGGATAAAAAAAACCCTTTCAGATGGTACCTATAGAACATGCGTTCACCTGCAAAGCATTGAATAGCACGATCTTTGTTCTCAAAGCTGCTAATGGCCATATCTCCTGATTTGAAAGTTTACACCAGCAATCCATCGTGGGTCTGGTGAATGTACCTTCACGCGTTGCAGCAGTAGTACTTTGGATGGTTTCGCATGTTTCACTGCGCAGATACTGCTCGAAGTTTATAATTTGTCAAAGTGACTAACTTTGCATTTCAGCCACTATAAAAATTATTAGTTATGTAAATGACCTTATATAGGTATTTTCTCAAAGAGAATAATCTATTCTAACATCTATCAAAATTGGGAAGGTTAATCATTTTTCTTTTTTGAGAAATCTACATTTATTTTCTAGGTGTCCCATTTTTTAGTGATCACCCCAATAATATAGTTTTTAGGCTGTTAACCAAAGCAAGACTTTATTATCAGTGACTAGCCGGCTTACACGGCTCCGCCCGATCCGAAAAACACTACGGTAAAAGTCCCATCCCTATCTCTCTACAACCTTTCCCTGTGCCCACTTCTACATGCCAATTCCCTACTACCGATGTATTAGTAGTCAGCATGCTCACCTGCCCCCCCCCATGCCAACTCCCAGCCCTGTAGCTTAAACTTTGCAAAAAAATCTATAAAAACCAACAAAATCGATTCGATCAATGACGAACAGTAGTCTACGACACCCGCCCCACCCCGAAGTGTCGATGTGGCAGACAGACCTTTGTATACAAGACTAGCGACCCCACGGGTCGCGCAAGCGGATTGTGGCAAACCCATAATAAATGCTGTTTCAAACATATACTTTTTTCGAATGAATTTACAATTTATCATAGTATATGTATTGCCTTGCAACCTCTCAAAAGCAAGATTTTCGGAGATCTCTTCAAAATTTGGGCGGAAATTGGATCATATCGTCCTAAAATAGTGTTTTGCCCTAAAAATCGCTGTACACTTTCCTTTCACAATGTTATTCTCGCATTCACACTCAGATGTTAGTAGGAGAAATTGAAATCAAGCAGCGCAATTGTTCCCAAAAGCAAGATTTTTGGAGAATCTCCCAGGATTTAGGCGGAAAGTGGATAGTTCCAAAAATAGCTCACGACATGAATGGAAAGAGCTTGAAAAAACGAACGAGAGCCTGATGAATACAGAGAATGGATGTGTGCGGATCAATAAATGGTATGCTTTTATATCTAACTTCCGTAACGATCACCATCTCGCATACTTCAACACACTGAGCACGTGTTTGCGTATTTCAAAACAGCTATTGCAGCAATACAGCGCATCCTGCTTGTCTGATACTATCTCGTCGTCAACGACGTCTGCGTCTTCTTCTGCACTCAATTACATTGCCACTTCTCTCAACGATAAGTCGCCGTTATGCGACTGGCGTCTATTCAAAACACTCTTTAAAGCATACATGCGGGCGGACCAACCTAACCGTCGCATTTTTTGGGATCGCGTTCATATTATAGGAACGGAATAATAAGAAATAGGAATAATATAAGATGAGCCAATGTTTCAAAGGAGGTCAATATACTTCAATCTGGCAGAGCTGAGGAGGCCCTGAAAAAAAGGGGGGGGGGGGGGCACCGAAACTTTGGGTTGTTACCGATAATAAAGTCTTGCTACCAACCTTGGTCAACGGCTCAAAATTATTCTATAATCCGAATGCCCACAACTTCTCTCTCTAGGATCTAGCTCTGCAGATAGAGCAGATTTATAATTAGCTTTCAAGCTCCCACAAATGGTTTGCAGTATATCGCGCACTTCGGCTTTGTGACCCTCTTATGTCAGTATGAAGCACTACTTCTATTAGGGCAACGGATGTAATTATACATTTTAGAGTATAGTAATTTTTCAATTATCTTCTAACATGAACGCATATCTCATAAAAAGCTACGGCAGCACTTTATTTACACACCGGTTCATTCGCCTATCTCTTAATGGTATCCGAAAAAGCGGAGGGGTGTTTCAAAAGGCCTACAAATTTGTTGACTTGCTTGCGCTAGACAAACTAAAAAATCAGAGTTTTTAATATTGAGTACATTTATTGAACTACTCTTCTATTAGAGTGATAAAGTAATGGACAACCTTGATTTCCTTTTTTTGCAATCTTGAAGGTTTTTATTCTCTTCCTGATAAACAATGAACAACCAGCTCCCACAAAGCGTAGACACCATAGTGACCTCCTCATGTTATTCTGACAGCACCTTGCTGCTCCCTCCTGACATGCCATTCGGTGCTTTTCAGGCTTTCTGGTGATCGCATTCAAAGTTTCAGCAATGCTTTTCGTGATATACGCACTGAATCTACTCCCCCCTCCCCCCCCCCCACCTTCATTAGTTGATCCAGCAACCCTCCGAAAAACACTTATACGCAAGTGATGTCAAAGTCTGAGCTTTCTTGCTTTATCGAATCGTGATGTTGTTTGGAGGGAGGAAGAAACTAAGAATAAGATAGGTGTTTGAGTTAGCAAAATTTGTTTTAACCAAACAAAAAATTAATCCAAATTCATTCAAATCTCTCTCACCATATTTAATGTGTTATTACAAAAATGGACTACGTTTTGTGTAAAGCTATCTTTAGAGTATTACACTCTCACATTTGCACTCACTCTCACATCAGACTTATGATGCGTATGCCTCCTTCACTTTGGATGTTACCCACAGATATGGAGTCCATATTTGTGGAAATATCAACGGCTTGCGCGCACAGTTTGGGGCAGTTTTCTTGGCAGGAGCAGCATGCAGTGCGCCCAGGCATGCTCTGTGTCATGTTTGGGGAGCAAGCCTTCCTGGATGTTTGATTTTATCGACCTCCAAACCAAGCCTTTGAAATGCCTCGTAAAGCATGCCTCAAAGAACTTTGAAGTGCCGTGTTTCTGTATCTAAAGGAAATAGTGCTTGATTAGTACTTAATAATCGGTCATGATCGATTATGCTTGGCACTCTCTTTTTTTTGTAAGGAAATTACCTTGGTGATCAAATCTTTGTTTTACCTTTGCTCAAAGAATTTGCATTGTACGCAGCTGTTGAATCTCTGCAGACAGTTCCAGTTTCAAGCATTTGATGTGAAGCTCGTTTGCCTTTATTATAGGGTTCCGGAACGAAGAACATGTATTGGTAGCCCTTTTCAGCAACTTCATCGCTTCCTCCCATCTTTCGACAACCATTGTTTCGTCCTCCAAAACTACTGCACTACTGTATGCATCTACCATGCCTCTGCATGGTCTCCTCCTGCAAATATAGTCAAAACTAGATCAAGCATTACTACTTACATTAATATTCTGCAGCAGTTCCACGCCGTCCTAGTTCTTGTTTGCTGCTGATAGATACTGAGTGTAACTAGCAACGTGTCATTGCAGTGTATGAAAATAAGGATACGTTTCAGTCACATCAATGTAGAAACTTTTTGAAATCGAGAAACCTGTTGTGACCGTCCGCTAATCTTACAAGAGAATAATACCAACTTAGATTTGCCTTCTAAGATGAGATACATACAATTGGAATCAGCTTGGAACGCCGATTCCAAATATGCTGTTTCTAGCTGCTTAGCATTATTCTGAAGCGAGTCATGATCCCTTTTCTATGCAAAGTTTGCGTGCTCCTCAACCTTCGGCATCTAGGTGGTTTTGTAATGGTATAATGCTCCCTTTCAGGATCGAAGGAATCAATCTGATGCTAGTTCAACATCCTAGCACTTTTTTCGAGCAGATTGTCTACATACCGTCTTACGACATTCAGGTGTTTGTTAGTTACTCACAACAGCAAGCCCTTAACTCAAGCAGCTAAGAACAGCATATTTCGAATCAGCGATCGAAGCTGGTTCCAAATTTATATGCCTCATCTCAAAAGACGAATCTAATTTAGTATCTTTTAGTTGTTAGTTTCAAGATCTTTCAAAAAGATAGGTCGTGATTTCACATTTATTTCAGGATATGTTCATAATCAACACAGAAAATATGTACAAGTTGATTTTTATGAACTAAAGCATACTATAAAGCCGTATTTACTTTTGACTAGAGAAGGCTCAAACAACACGGCTCTCACAATTAGATCACGTATGACTCCCACGTCTCATTAATTGACGACAAGATTTTCCCTAACTCAAGTCGAATGTCCTTTCTTCCTGCCTCAGAAGCTGTTAGATGATGAATCCTTGAGAGGGTTTTGAGCAGGTTTGTTTTCAAGGCTTCAACCTTGTGCTTGTAGGTTTCCATTTGTGCTCTGACCGAATCCGGTGTCTCCATTAAGGTGTTGACGTAGTTCCATGTAAAATTCCTAGAATAAGATTTAGAATCTGAATCTAATCATATGTACATTTGGAATATGGTAGCAATCGAAACAGTTGTCGAATTACAGTGCAAGAGCTACAGATACTATGTTTACAAAAAATAGAATGCACGACTTTCACCAATTATCAGTACCTAGCGAAGCCGCCAACGAAGTATTGTTATATTCTGTTCTCTCATAAAATTTTTTTAATCAAAACTTTCTATGACAATTCTAAAAAAATCATTAATATGTGAATTGTAAAACCATTTACAATTTCTATGATACTATTTTACAGATCAATGACATTTTACCGCCTTCTCTATAAGTGGCTCTACGATGATATTCTATCTATAATTCTATTTATAAAACCTAATTACTGTAGAGTGACTGACAGAAAACAATGATTTTAGTGCTAATAAAGCGTTAAGAAACTCAGTAAGGAATACCATCTTTTGTTTCAGAAAAAAAGTGAAACTGACATTTTTTGTCAACTTATGAAAATTAATCTAAAAAGCACAGCACATGAGTGCTCTATGTTTTAGTCACAGAGTCGGCTATGTGTCAGTCAGGCCAATTCTCGCTCACCTTGGCGAACACAAATTCAAGTCGAACTTGCCAAAGAAAGGATTATACCATACAAAAAAGTTCTGTCCAGTAGGAGCGCTTATGCTGCAATATACTGATAGAAGCTACAAACTAATGGTGAAATGGTGGATTGAAACATTAATGCGCTTACGGATGGAACCTGCTGTTTTGCCTCTTCTCAGTTTTGGTTTTCCAATTATGCATCATGAAATCAAATTCTCTGCACCATTTACTATTCGTTACTCTAGGATCTCGCGCCCATCCAGCGCCCTGAAATTTTTAATATTATTACTGAGTGAGATATACTTTACAGCTTAACTTCTCGAATTGATTGAAAGTGTTGTGAATTATCTAATTTTGCTTGCCATGTTGTAAAGCATGCCCCAAGCCACTACAGGTACCAGATGTAATCTCAAATTTTCGACTTGCAATGTTCCAACACCCGTTTATGGAGAAATGGTATCAAACCACACCACATTATTGACATGACAGCATGACCCACCTTAGGTAAGATTGTGATATTCCCAAAATGGGTTGTGTTTCCTAAAGCCTCGCGGATACATGCTTCATATAAGAAAAGTGATCCTTGTCCTTTGACAGCTTTGTATATCAATAGACATGTTTTGAATAGACTGGAATGTGGTGCCAATATTTCACCCAAATAAGCCTGGAAAAAGTCTTGAAAGCTGTAGCGCTTATCTTGATTTTGCTCCAGGTATGATCAAGTTTGGAAGCTCGTACGAGAGGTAAAACGTGATACCATCAAATTGTTGATTGCGAACTGGCCGTAGCTTGCGCAGCACGCGCCACGCAGCCGAACGCTTGTACCAATACAGATCGCTATCTTACAGGCCGTGCTCTCGTGTCATTTTAGCGCGCTAACCGTGCTCCGCGATCTACGGTCAGTCCGCGCATTGATACAATACATAATGTATTATGGTCTCTCTATATATAAAGCAGAAGATCTGTTTGTTTGTGTGTCTGTGCACATATTCATAGTCATAAAGGATAAGCGGTGAAGCATCTTGATCAGTTGGTCATCAAGATATGCTAAGGACGGTAGAAGCGAAGTAATACGAGTGGGAATCAAAAGAAGGGTAAATTTCGCTGCATGAGAGATCAAGTACGATGGACTGGCTCCGTACCGGGGTGGAATCCGGGATGCCAGCTCGTACAATAATAATGTACGAGCTGGCTAGAATGCGCATATCGCACACAAATGTGACCACAGGGTCTCGCAAACTTTGCGTCTTCTGGCTGAGCTAGCGTCACATGTCCCAATTCCAAACTAAAGGCTGCGGAAAGAACCCGTTTTTTATATTTTTGTAGTCTCCAAACGCCACTTAACCAAAACAGCGTAGAAGATAAGCCATCCGTTTTTCGACGATGCGGTCTAACTAGATTGTAACAAGAATTTATAACAAAATGCTCTCTTGATAGATGTGTTGTTTAACGCAAAAAACTTGTGTATGTGACTTGGAAATTCTGTTGTGGGCGAAGAGTTACGTCGAGGAAACAATGCTAAACGTGTATACTGTTGCGGCTCATCCAAGTCTCAATCTTACCTCAAAGTTGGTACACTTTTGAGCTGAATTTTGGTTTCTGTCTCTCAAAAAGCTTTGTGGGGCAGGTATTGCTTGTTTGGTCTTGTATCAGTGCTGAAGATTCGGGAGTTTTTGCAGAGCTGTGAGGCTTTGAAGCTCAAAAGCAAGAGAAGCTATGATTGCGCTAGTATACAGTCTTTTTTGTGGAATGACACTCGTGCCAAAAAAAATAAACAAAATGCTTGGCGTGCAGAATTTTTAGCCAAACACACTATTTTTCGGATGTGAACTTACTATGTACACATCATCTTGAGGCTTCATAAGCCGAGATTTGGAACTTGAAAATGTGCTAATTCTAGTTTGAGGAAAAGACTTGTATGGAAAATTCAACAAGTACACAGAGGTTTTTTTGGGGTTCAATCAAGACATATCAAGAAAGCTTATAGTGTCAGGATTTGTTACAAGCTGATAGAGTTCTTGCACCGCGGAAGAATGGATTTTTTGAAGCGCACTGCTTTCAACATTTTCAGCCATGTGAATAAACTAAAACTCTTCTTCTAAAAAACTTGGACTGTGCACTAGATCTTTCGAACTCTATTACTGTAGCTGTTTTAAAGAATTCGAGGCGAATGCAGCTTTGAATAAGGAAAGGAAGGTCCATCGAGTTTCGATTTCAAGTATGTTCCAGAAGTCCAGAAACTTTCAGAGTAAGGGGTGTTTGTATGAATTTGAACCGCACCATAGGACTATGACAGAATTGTAAAGAAGCGGGACGGAGTGATGATTTGATATATCGGCAACTGAGCCAAATATGCCACCTACTACAGTTACTCACATGCAAGGCTCCATTATCACTCCCATGATCCGGCTTTGGAAGTCGAGATTCGTAATTTGCAAAACCTTAACAACCTTAACAGTTATTTGAAAAAAAAAGCTGAAATTACTAATAATACGATGGCCAAGAAACCAGATGTTTTGTGTACCATCGAGCTATCTTACCATTGAGAAAATCACGCGACCAGCTTGAATTCTTTACCAAGTAACTCCCAGCCATGACTTCCCAATTATAGAATCGATCGTAAAAGATTATATTTGTCTGTGGCTCGATAAACTCTTCTATGCGCCTTAAATTACATGGCTTTTGGAATACTATGATATAATTTGTGTTTTGCGCGCGGAAGGCTTCGATTCTGGAAAACTCGCATAGCCCTCAATATACGCAAATCAACTATGCTAACTTGTCAAGCAAAAGGTCAGAATACTTTCCAAAGAAGGCTATAGAATAGGTACAGCCAAAAGTATAGCATTAGAATACTAGCAAATGTAGGCAAATATTCAATATAACTGACCTTTTAGGGTTCACCACCCCAATATCGGAGTCCAAAAATAGAACGTAATCGTAATCTTTTAACGCATTTGCAGCTATACAGTGCCTCCTGAAAAGCATCTAAAATTGTTGATAGCCGATTACCGTTGATATGATTTATCTGGTCATGCACAAAAAACTTGCATCTTTTTGTAAGCACTGCTCGTTGTAGCTGGTGTCCTTCAAAATGTGGAAGTCATAACCATGAATCTTTGCATAACAGGCAACACTCACTGTAATAGAACCATCAGCCATTGCGCTTGTCAGCATTTTGAAAAGTTTTACAATTTCACAAAAGCTTAACACATTGTTTGCGTTTTTCTGAAGTACATTACATTAGTTCATTTGTTGTAAGATTGACCGCGAAAAATATAACTACTTCTGTGTTTACAAAAACATGTGTGTTTACATCCGTCGACCAAGAAGTAGTGGTGCATACCGTTGTGAGATCTTTATACTCTGATTCCAAATATGCTTTACTTATGTACAGACCCCTTTCAAAAAAGGGTTAATGGCATTTTTTTGGAGCGAAAAATTGCATGAAGGGCTGGGAAAAAATGAATTGCTACAGCTTTTCCGCTATGTAGCAATTGCTGGTGCCAGGATACCTCATACGATGGTTTGATTCTTATTAGTATTTCAATATCTATTATCGCTCCATTTGACTTTGAGATATGCTGAAACCATCGATTTAATCTCGGCCTTAGTTTATTTCTTCGTTTAGAAAATGTATGTAATTTTTATCAGAAAGCGCTCTCTAGCTATGTAGAGTGTTTTTTCAAAATAGCATTTCGTGCTCTCATTGACGGTATGAATTTTTTAAAGTGATTGCCTAGTTTGATTTAGTGACTCCCACCCAGCTGTGAGTACAATGCGCTATTCAGGAGCAGAGAGGTGATGTTTAGGAGCACAGAGTGCTAAGCATCTTCAAGGTATTCACAAGGTCGGGCAAGCCTGGCATGGATTTGACTCAGGGTTTCTATTAATTTAGCTTTATGGCTGTTCTAATCAAAATCGATATTAGTACATCAACGAGTGACGTATATAACCACTGCCACTTTAGCAATCCAGTCATCTAGGTCTGCCATGGGGTTTGTGAGTTGTTTCATTATTTTAGCAATTTTAACGAATTTATCAGCAGTCGCTACACTTTGAACTCAGATACGCTCGACAGCTGATATATTTATGAACAGAGTAATTGTCGTGATGGTGAGTGAAAATGTTCTTTAATGATACTCACTTATTGCTGTCTCATATTGTTTAGGTGATGTCCATGATTTCAAAACTTCGATTATTCCTATAGAGACTTGAGATCTGAAACAACATCTAAATCGACTCTTGCACACAAAGGTAGCATGCGAGTTATAATTATCTGCAGCATCAGATAACTCTATTGGGGGTGAGCTGAAATACAGGGTGTCCCAAAAAAATGTTAACACTGTTTGATCGCTAATAACTCTCTTGATTTCATGTCTTTCGGCGAGCTTGAGGCACCATTCTGTAGAGCGAGGTTCAACTTAGATTTGCAATATGGAGCGAATCAATATTCACTCTTGGTTGCTGTAGGATTACGGTAAGAAGTTACAGCATGTGGAACCGTCGTGAAATATGCCCTCTGACAAAATTTTTTTCAAAAAATCTGGAAAATTGTGTGCTAGGGTTTTTGCGCACGCTGCTTTTACTACACTACTTCTTACGAGCGTTTTCAGCTTTTTTTATGGTGTAATCACATTTTTGACACATGCTGTGAAGTCACTTATCATACCTTACCTAGGATAACTTTGAAAAGAAGTATTATAATAAAATGGAAATTCCATATCTGAAATAAGCGACTTTCATTACCATAGTACGAGAGACTTTGGTTTGTTTGGCTCTGTTTCGAAGCAGAAAATGGCCTTCAATATCCTAAAATCCTTGTCAAATTTCTTCCCGTAATTCTACAGTAACGAGGAGAGTTAGATGATTTGCTCCATGCTCTAAATTTAAGTTTGTCCTCGGTCTACAAAATGGTACCTAAAGTTCGGCGAAAGACTCGAAAGCAAGGGAGTTATTAACGATCATACAGTGTTAACATTTTTTTGGGACACCCTGTAGAGGCATGGACTGAGCTTGAAAATCTCATGTCCCCGTTCAAAATTACCCCTGCGCAGGTGTCCTGCCTATTCTCGATGGTGGTATACTTGAATATGAAGGCTTTGTGGATTTGCATTTGGCAAAGATTACCATTTGAAGATATTTCTTCTTATAATCGTGCCCAAGTAACATTGTTTCAACTTCCCAAAGTCGCTAGCGAAGCAAAAATGCCGTATCTCTCTTGCGAAACGAATTTCTGTACCGTTATCTCTGCGAAAGAGTGGTTTGATAGTTGAGTACACTTCATTCGAGGTAAAAAGTTATCAGTGTGTTACCAAGTTATTGTTTGTACGGCAGGGCAATTTGATATCGTAGATTGCCCTTAGAAATTATAAGCACCGCCCAAGATTAGGGCAACTACTGGAGCGACATTCTCTAAAATCCATAATTTGCAGCAAGACCTGGGCGATCTTACAAAGAAAAGACGCTGATTGTTAGTGACCACAGCCTTTTGCAAACCTATGTTCATTACCTGCTGCGCAACTTTCTGAACGAACCCATGGACTTTTTCCCAGTTTTAACGCACGAGATCTAGACAGCCAGAATCGTCACCATCCAGGCTTTTTAATCTCGGGTAAATCAAAGACGAAAAAAGCTGCGCAACAATCTTGGCCTCATTGTCAGCCTACAACATCAACAACTAAGATTAAATCAAAGACGTTTTTCTAAGCTTAACGTAAAGTTTTATTTCATTTGGAAGCTATTTTGTAGTCTGAGTGGCCATTTCAACGATATCGTTGAATCCTGTCATCAGAACGGCGCAAATTTTGGTGACAAAAATGTTCATAACTTCTTTCGGAAGAGCGCACAGCACGAACCGAGAGCAGATTTGGATTCAATGCTTAAATTGCATCTGAGGGTGTGCATTCTGGAACGCCACGGTTAGCAAATATCCTTCCCTTATTAACTAGGGCCCCCGCCATTGTAGCACATTGAATATTCGTTATTCTCATTGGGCAACTATTTCAGAGCAGTATTCCCAACAAACTTCAAGCACTTCTTTTTTGAGTCCTTTGAGTTCCACTACTGTCGAAACCATATCTCATACTTCATTTCTAGAAATCGAACCATCACTGCTTCCCAAAATCTCTTTGAAGGTGCAAAATAGTTTTTCACGCACTAATCCCATATTTTGATTCGACACACAGGAAAACCATGCAAAGACGCAGAGATCCATAATCTTCCAAGCTCTACCATTGAGGCAACTAGTTTTTGATAGAATTAGTTTCACCTTGCTAAGTGTCAACACAATATTCATTTCCCTGTTTGAATTGACAAAACAATTGGCATACCTGTTAGAGATCCGCAGAACATCCGCGTCGTTTTCATAAACAGCAATCTCCTCTGTTTCTCCGCTAAAAAAAATTCATAAAAAAATTTGACTGAAACGCCTACATTCTCAACAAAACCGCTAGCCAGTCTAGCTTCAAGGAGCTAATACCTACCAGATTTACGTAAAGCAGTGAATCATTATGGTAGATGTCAAGTCCCAAAACTTGAATTCTACAAAAAAAGATTCCTCGTCATTTTATGATCAAAGTGTATGTCATAATTTACATTGTACTCTAGTAAAAATGAAAACCGCGCAAGCTTCCCTTGCATAAAGAAAAGGTGTCCGACCACTTTTTGAACAGTAGTGAGAGATACACCGACGTTTCAGTACTTCCAGATAAGATCAAGTGAATGACCCTAATACAGAAAATTCGAATTTTGACTGATTTTTTTCTAACGCTCTTATCTATGCAACAAATGAACAATTGTAATCAGCTAAGACATCATTATAAACAGCTTGTCTAGTCTTCCATACAAAATTAAATGCAGTCAAATGAGCCGGAAAAATCAGTTATAAATTTTTGAAAATGGTGCGAACGAACTTTCGGGACTACCTATATTAGGTTGGCAAATAAGTTTTGCAACTTTTCCCATAACTTTTTTCTTATTCAGTCTAGCACTCTCATTCTCCACCATCTTGTAGACTGTGAAGTAAGTTGCAAGCCTACGCAAATCTTTTGATTTTAGATAATCTAGAAAAATTTGAAGATTTTTCGAAAACTCTTGAAAATCAGGTTTCACAGTTTCCTGGCAAACATGAAGCCCTATAAAACTTGGATTAAATATATCAGAAAAGAAGTGAAATTTAGGAAGAAGTCAAAATAAGGCGCCTTTAAGGAGAAGAAGAAGCCAAATGCGTCAAATGGAGGGTAATCTGTCAATAACTAACCTGCGAAATCTCAGAATTCGCTAGAACTTTGCACAATAGGGTAATCCAATACGGTGAACACTAACATCATATTCACTTGTCGCTAAGTTGAGATTCATCTTTTGACTTTACGAAGAAGGCCTTTTCATGCGAAACTCAAAGCTCTTACTCCCATTGTACCTTAAACCTACCATAATCCTTACATAAGACGGCAAAACCGGCAAAAATGTCTGCATTCACATCATAATTCTTGTATTGGCAGAAAATGAATGCGCTACGCTTAAAAAAAACAAAAATTATATAAAAAGTTGTATTACTCAAGTGCCAACCTAATACTTTATATCTCGCTTTTATTTTGCTTTCTTTTTTTTGTTTTCTTCGACGACACTCGTATCATCCAAGTTGTTATAAGCGATGTTCCAGAATCTAGCGAGTAATAAGGCTGTGTGTTGAAAGGAGTTTGGGAAATTCCAATATTGCATTGTAACAAAAACTTTCTCATGTCAGATAGTCACAGTCAAAGTCAAGTTTCTCAGTTGTCACAAAGTCAAGAGTCGCAGCAATTTCACGCGATGCACAAAGTTGAAGGGCAGTAAGTGTAAGACCGAACACAACAACAGACACTACTAGTTTGCTAATTTCCTAAGGTCCAAATAAGAATATTTTTTATCATAAAAAGTCCTGTTTCGCCTCTTACCCCTAAACAGGTAATAGAAAGACTAACCACACCCGAGGCTCATCGGTCCTCATCCCGACTCCCGAAGACTGCCTTAGCATTAGCATAATACACTAACTATATCAGTCAAAGCTACAAGGAGTGAAGCACTTTTGGTTGGCAGCAGTCACGAAAATCACTTCCTTGGAATTCCCAGACCCAGATTAACTAAACAAATAAAAAAACAGGTAAATCTTGGATTTTTTGACGATCGACGAATTTTCTTTTTACGGGTTTAATACGAGAGGAGAACGGAAGAGGAAAATAGTGATAAATTATTAGGGATAAAATAGTAAAAAATATAGAAAGAGGGACAACGTAGATCATTTAACAATCAAAATGCTCAATCTAGTCCAACAATTTCCCAGAGGCTCAGATTCAACCAGCATACGTGGAAATTACATCACTTGTTTAGGTATTTTGTGTTTTGAATTTACTAGAACAACTCAAAGAAATTGGAAAGAATCTCTAATCTGTAACCCAGAGATCGTTGCCTGCGCTCTCCTAACTGTACGCTTCGGTTACTGGGAATCTACATAATTTCCTATTGTGAAGGAAGTGAGGGATCAAGTGATCTGAACAGTTTGAATGGTGCTGTAATTTTCCTTATCATGATCTTGCTTATCTTATCTGGTGTTGTGTATCAGGCACGTGGCGGTATGCGTATCTTCTCGGCCGCTATATAAAGCGGTTCCGCTCGGCTAAAATCACTTTTGTCTTCGGGTTACCTAGCGTGCGGATCAATCAAGCAGCCGAGCCGAGAGGAGACGCTGCCACCGAGCGCCTGGAGGAGGATCTTCAATAAAAGGATTGCAACACACCCCTGGACACCACGCCGAGCCCCCGCGATAGCGCCAAGAGTAGGCCAACTATTGCGTGACTTGGGGGCCGAACCAAACGAAGGACTCCTCCGAAAGGACCATTGAACCGATCAAGGCGTGTAGCCTGCCATTGTAACTGCAGTGTATATTTCCCTTATTGAGAAGAACTCGGTGCTGCACATCGAGCCTTCTCAACCGTGGGGAGAAGCGCGTCAGTTACACGGCCAGCTTCAGTCCTGAGGGGCGAGGCGTACGCATGTGTACCGAGTACTGACAAAGCTTCTCGGTTAGGGAAATATACACTGCGTTGGTGTATCATATACACTACTGAGGCCCGCTCGTGTGAAGAGCGGAGCGACGAACGCGTGAACTGTTTTATATCGAAGGTTCAAATATCGTGTTCGCGTCGCGTATTAGCAAAGAAAGGGGAAGAGAACAAGGAAAGAAAACATTCATTTCAGGCAACCATGACCGAAGATATTGACAATTTGGAAATCGACAAGCTTCTCTTGGATGAGCCATCGCACTTAGAACAGCTTGAGTCGATGAACAAAACGCTACAGAACTTGGTAAATGTCGTTCAGGACATTCTCAAGAAGTACAAAGCACAGGTAAAGCAAGAACTGACGCGCTTGAAAGAGGGACTGGAAGCGCTTACAAATTTGCCAGAAACGCTCGCAGCCCAGCCTGAATTAACTACTCGCGCTCAGTCCAAATCGCGCGAAGCTTTGGTAGGCTTAGCGCGCGACTGCATCATGACTGAGTGTGAGGGAATCAGGAAAGTGCTGAAAACGCCAGGAAAAGTAGCAGAGGACCTCAACTCCGCAGAAAACCTGCTGACTCAAAAGCCACTCGCTATTTATCGGACGCTAAAGCGTGGCGCGCGCAGCCTTAAGCTCATTGATGACCTGGTGGCGATCATGAACGTCCAGCCTGCGCTTCTTGTAAGAGCAGTGAAAGAAATGAAAAACAGCTCTAGCAGACCTAAATCTCAGACCATTCAGGTACCATCGGTCGAGCCGGTAACTTCAACGTCCCAGCAGCCGGCGATCTCGCAAGAGAACGCCGAAGAGTTTGGAGACGTGGTCTACTTTGCGGATTTCGATCCGATAGCGGCGGCACAAGGCAAGTCCCAAGCACAATTAGTGAGAAATAGGACGAAGGATAATCCCCCTCAGTTTCAGCGCGAAAGGAGGAACTCGTCGCGAATGACAGTGGCATCGAACCTATCTACGTCCAGCAGCCAATCGCAAGGTAGGTTCAGCGATCGCGACACTCATCCTATGGCGCAGATGTTCGCTGCGATGACCCTGCCGGACGTGGAAACTTTTAGAGAACCACAGGGAAAAGGGTGGGATGAGTTCGTAATGAAATTCAAAATGAAGTACGACGGCTTAGGGTTGCGAAATGAGATGCTAGTGCAATTGTTCTTGTCGAAACTAGGAGGACACCCAAGGATGGTCGCAGAAGCGTTACCACGAAGGATCAGAGAGGGTACTCTAGAGGAAATCATTGAGGCAATGCAGAGTCAGTTTACCGTCCACGACTCTGCAAACCAGATGAAAGCGTACATGGACCTCAAACACCTGAGAATGGGTGGGGACCTAGCCTCATACTGTGTACAGCTGGAAAGGCTAACGCAAAGAGCGTACCCGGATGCGTCAGAGAAGGAGTTATCAAGGACTCGTGCAGGAGAACTGGTGTCACAACTAGTCAGATGGCCGGAGTACTTACAGTTCTTTTCAATGATGGAGAGCGCGCCTAAGGAAATGGCTTACGAATTGGTAAAAACGATGGCACAAAGATGCGTGCGAAGTAAAGAAGTGGCGAACGCAATGCTCCGAAATGCGGATTCCGCGCCAAACGCTGATTTCAAGAGGAACCTATCTGGCAACAAGAACAAAACACAAGTGACGAGTAAGCCCGCTGATCAGACGGATACTCCAAACTCAACCAGAAGAAGGCAACCGCGATGTTACAACTGTAACGAAAGCGGACACTACAGTCGCGAATGTACCAAGCCGAAGGTAACGAAGACGGCGAGAAAGGAGCCTACAGCGGAAGCACCTAAGATTTTCACGACCTCTCTAAATAAATGGATATGCAGCTCTCTCGGGACGGCACCGAACGAAAATGACTTGGTAGGAGAGCAAATGGTCATGAATGTCCGCTTGCTAGGTTTATCTCGGAAAGCCCTCATAGATACAGGTTCTCAGGTCAGCATCATACCATTGAATATGCTCGCCAGCCGAGACAGCGGATTCGACCTAGATGCAGATGTCGAAGAGCTGCCGATAGACAAGCTTGCACCAGTACATGATGCCTCAGGCAACCAGATGAGCTTCAAGAAAGCCGTCAGACTGACTCTTCAACTGAATAATCGCGTGAAGCACAAAATAGCTCTCTTTGTGATGGCAGGAGGGGATGATATGATTGTGCTCGGTACGAACGCATTATCGAAGCTCGGTCTGAACCTCGCAAACATCAGAAGCACTCTGGGTAGTAACAACTTCGCCAAGTCTCCAAACGGAAAAAAAACAGCGATCTGAAGCAGTTACTATCGCCAAGAGAGTGTACGTCGGGCCAGGAGAGACCAAAATGTTGCCGATTTCTCGAAAGGGACCGCCGGAAGAGGGAATCCTCTGGTCTAAATGCGGGATACTCCCCGATATGGTTTGGGACAAACGATGTTGTTCCATAAACGTCCCGGTAACCAACGACTTGTCAGGAGCCAAGCTTTTCCGAGAGGGGGAAGAGGTTGGCACATTCGAACCAGCGGAGATAGTCGAGCAACAACCGCTCAGCTATCATGGAAATATGCTGGAACGGACCGCTGTGGAGGTGCATGATAAGAGGAACACCTGATGAGGCTATTGGAAAACAACAAGTCGAGCAAGAAGCTCGAGAAGAGCGTGCAGGATCTGATAATACGTCATGCGAATGCTTTTGCAGTCACCGACCAAGAGCTATCGCAGACAGATTTGGTGGAACACGATATAGAAACTGGAGATGCAACACCAATACGGCAAAAACCGCGACCAGTGCCACTCGCAACTCGAGTGGAGCTTCGTCGCATCTTGAACGATCTCCAAGCTAGAAAAGTGATCGAGCCGAGTAAGTCAAGTTGGGCTTCACCCATTGTGCTTGTCCATAAGAAAGATGGATCACTCAGGCTATGCGTAGACTACCGCAAAGTGAATAAAGTCACCAGAGTGGATAGCTACCCGCTGCCGTCGATCGACTCCATCTTGCAGAGCTTGGGGGGGGGGGGGAAGTCGTTCTTTTCGACTCTTGATCTGTCTTCTGGCTACTGGCAGATAAGTCTCTCCGAAGACGCTAAACAAAAATCCGCTTTTGCCACCACGGAAGGTCTCTTTCAATTCCGGGTGTTGCCATTCGGACTATCAGCGTCTCCTCCAGTTTTCCAGAGGCTGATGCATAACGTCTTGGGCGCTCTTTTGGAGAGCGGAGAGGTGTTTTGCTATCTGGATGATATTATCGTAGCTACGGATTCAGTCGAGAGGCAAGTGGTCATGCTTGAGAGAGTCTTCGAAAAGCTGGAAGAGGCAGGACTCAAACTAAACCCGAGGAAATGCGTGCTGTTTGAAAGGAAGGTGGAGTTTCTTGGTCACGTCATAGACCAAGATGGCTTACACATGGACCCGACTAAGATAGAGGCGATTCTGAAATACCCTTTACCGCAGTCGCGTTCGCACCTCCGAACCTTTCTTGGAATGTGTTCATACTATAGAAAATTCGTGCTCGGCTTTTCTAAAGTAGCGGGCCCCCTGCATGAGCTAACCTCGGAGAAGAAAAAGTTTGAATGGACTACGGAGACGAAAGCAAGCTTCGAAAAACTAAAAAGGATCATTACCAAAGCACCAGTCCTCGCTCAACCGGATATTGAAGGCGCGCGAAGTGGGATGAAACCCTTTAAGATCCACACAGATGCCAGCCAACAAGGCCTGGGCGCGGTCCTTAGCCAAGAAGGAGACGACGGGTTACTGCACCCGATCTCTTTCGCATCAAAAGGCCTAACAAGCTGCGAGAAAAAGTATCATGTCACGGACCTCGAGGCCCTGGCTGTGGTATTTGCCCTAAGAAAGTTCCACATGTTCGTCTATGGTCTACCCGTAGAGGTGTATACAAATCATCAGGCACTGACAGCGATCTTCAAGCGCACGAACGTCTCAGATAGAGTGCTACGGTGGGCACTTGAACTGCAGAAATGTAATTTGAAAATCGTC